TTTTTTTTTTTTTTTTTTTTTTACTACTGTTTCTATTGAGTTTCATCTCTAGCCTACCCCAACTTGTTTGGGACTAAAAGGCTTTGTTGTTGTTGTTGTTGTTGTTTGATTATGAAGTTTAAGCACGGGCCAACGAAGAAGTAGCCACTGCATGTACCGGATTTTTCACTGTTGGATTACACACTCGCACATACACACCCACATGGATGTGTGTTGATCCAATGGGTAAAAGCCCGTATGTGACTTTTTCCTCTTAACAAAGATAGTGGAAAAGCATATATGTCCAATCTCCCAAGAGCAAACAATTCTTATCAGATCTCTTCAGTAATGCTACTCGAGATAGAAAGGACCCATCGAATAAATGAACGGTCTGCATCCAAGCAAGTACGAAAAGTATGAACCTACAGAACTGTTCCAAAAGTATGCAAGCCGGTATTTTTTCCATCTACATTCGAACGTCTGAATTTAAGTAAAAACTAATGGCATCACCTTTGTTTTCCTAAACAAGATATTTACATGAGGGCATGCATACGGGACAAATGCCATGTAATAATAATACATACTTTGATACTTACAAAACCGATTGTGATTTCATGGTTCTTCTTTGCTTATACAGTTACACTTGAATATTATCTCGCAGGTGCAAACAAATAGCCATCTTTCCTAGAATTTCAGAATTTGACCTACATACGAAAATAAAACACCAACTCCAGTCATGCCTTTTGCCAATGATAATATCAAAAATGCTAAAAACTTGCACTTAATCGTTGTTGTGTGACAGTATCAGGCGAGATGCCTCAGCACAAGCACATTAGAATATGTGATTGAGCCTTCAAAAGGCTCTACTGATAGCAACAGTTACTGAATATCTGCGTGCAAAGTAACAGAGAATGTGAACACGAGTAAATAATAATTGCTGCTATCTTGTAGCATTAGTATAAAGTAGGCAGTAAAATTTGAGGCACTTACGTTATGCACTTGTGTCATCTTACTTGAAGCTTGTTGTGATACAACTAGCATTTTGAACTTACATTTGAGGAAGGAGCTCGATATATTCAATTGACGTTAACATACAAATCACAGGTACCGAACCTTAAAATGGAAAACTTGTTCAAAGTAATACTACTAACCAATCATAAGTACCGAAAACGCTTCAAATCTTAGTACACACATGCACATTAGAGCACAGACGAAAGGGAACAAACACAACAGGAACAGATAAAAATGATGTTGTATGTTAAATTTCTTGGGCCGGCCCAAGACTCCATAGGATGTATTACTCGCATGGATGAACAGCCCACACCTATCCAGCGCAAGACGAAAAAAGAAAAGCCCAAAAACCGTTGGCCAATACTGTGCCAATCACCCTTGGTTTCAACGCTTACTGGCAGCTTTTGCCGATCTCTCTGCAGAGTGTGAAAACCAGAAACGTGACCGCCCAATCGGTTCCGTCATCAAAAGCCGGATTTCTGCATGGCAACACGTTCGTTCGCCTGGCTCCTTAGGTGGCACACGCGGTCATTATTAATTTTCCACTTTATTCATGTATAAATGAGGCATAAACTACCTCAAGAACTACACGAAAAAAATACTATGAACATCAACTTCCACAGAATACTCACTCAAACACTCACATTTTCCCCATTAGTTATTATGTGCCAATCTCATACGGTTATTGACGATCCCTCACATCGCATATTTAAGCTTATGTTTACATCAAATCGCTATCTAAGGTGTTGTCAGCAAAACGACATATACTCAAAGCAAATAGAATATATAATCTTCGGAAACCGAATTAAAACGCCCAACTGTATTACCTCCATAGAATGGCGTCCATCCGACTTTGAACAATGAACGAGCTATCTGCCTAGTTGAAGTGTTCTTGGGACCAAAATGTCACCTAAGGAACACCGAAGACCCCTTCTTTTCTGATCACAAACTCGCAAGATGAGTCCGGCAAATGGGGCGCAAAATCAACCCGAACGAACCTCCTCGTCTGCAAACTCTGGAAACTTCCATCCTCCCCTCCTCCCACTTCCTCCCGCCACATAAACAGCCTTATGTTCACGCAATTGGCCCACGACAGCCCCAGGGCCGCACAGACCCTCCTCCCGGACGAGCACTGGGAACCTACATTCCCGACCCTGAGGCCGGCCGAGCCTCCAATCACATCCACCACCTGGTTCGTGACCACAACCGCCAGCTCAAATTTCCGGGCGAGGAGCCTCAATTTCGAGGATACCTTGAAGAAGACGCCGGACCTGCGCTTCAATTCGAGCGGGGTGTTGTCGTACTCGCCACGGAACAGCGCCGCAATTGAGTCGATGACGAGGAGCTTGATGTTGAGCTTAGGGATCCAGAGATCCAGGCGGGGCAATACGTCGAGCAGGTGGTCGGCGGAGGTGAGGGATTCGACGTAGACGCGAGCGAGTGGGTCGCGGGGGAGGTGTGGCGTGTGGGAGGACAGCTGGTGGAGGCGGCGGGAGGGGAACGGAAACTCGGAGTGGAGGTAGAGGGCGGAGGCGTCGAGGCCGCCGCGGGAGGGAGGGAGCTGGGCGGCGAGGAGGAGCTGGAGGGAGAGCTGGGTCTTGCCGGTGCCGCTCTCGGCGACGATCTCGGTGATGGACTCGCAGGGGACGCCGCCGCCGAGGAGGCGGTCGAGGAGGGGGCAGCCGACGGTGAGTTTGGGCGGCGGAGCGGGGAGGGGGTTGCGGAGGAGCTCCTCTGGTTTCATTTGCGTCTCTTATTTTTACTTTTTATTTTTCTTCTTCTTCTTTCTTTCTGGACAAGTCTTTAGGTTAAAATTCTACTGGATGTAGGTGAATTTTTTGGAACATAGATTATAAAAGTCAATTTTCTATATAAAAAGATGGTTGGCATAAATATAAAAGGCCATTTTCTATATAAAAAGATGTTTGATGTAAATAACAAAATGAACTTTTAAAAACGTAATTTCGACTTTTTTGGGATGACTCACCTCCGCCGCGTTCTAGTATAATAGTTTTCGAGCTTCTGGCCTCCTTCTTTATACGAAAAAAAAAAGACATAATTTCTACAAAAAGTCCATTTCAAAAAACTTTATATTTGACACTTTTTAAGAGGTTACTTTTAAAAAAATCCATTTTGAAATAGACTTCTCAACAAGTGTTTCCAAACAAGCCCATAATATTTTCAAATGTTGCATTCAAATAAACTCTTTAATTAAATCAAATATTAATATATATATATATATATGTATCTATATATATAATCTTCTATTCATTTATTTATGTTTTCATTACTATAAGATATTATTTTACAAGTTTTTATCTAATTAATGATTGCTTTACAACAATTTTTTATTATGTTAATATCCAATCGTGCTATGTACTTTAACTTTTAAGAGGGAGTTTTGTATTTAAATTGTCTACTAAATGAATTGTCATGACATTACAAGAAAATGAAAACCAAATTTATATCACATATTTGTTGTCGAATGGATTTGACTAATGAGCATGTTTAAAGTGAATTTAATGATTCTTAGCACGCTTAATGTGGGTGTTTTCGTGAAGAAATTGAACAGAACGAATGAAAAACAAGATGCGAAAGTAACAGTATAACAGTTGACCAGGTCGGTCAATGTTGTTTTCTAGCTCGAGTGTGTTTTTAATATGATACTGAATATATGGATCTTTGTCTCTTTTATTGCAGAATCTCTACCCCCTATTACAAAAACTCTCGTACACTATTTATAGTAAGACTCTAAGTTGTTGTTCACCGAGTCATTCGAACATTTAATTAGAATGGGGCACATTTAATGCATCACTAGACTCTAGGCAACTAGAGTCGATAGAGTTGCAAGGATAAGGCGGTGATGCCCCATCTATCATCATTTGGGCACATGAGACATTTATTTTATTATTTTCGCTCGGAGTTCGCCTAGGTTGGTTTGCATGGCGCCGTGTGATTTCCTTTGCCTCAAGGATATTGTTGAGCTGTTTTTTGCGGTTGATCTGCCAATTCAGGGTTAGTATTTTCCATATAGTCGACCTTGGTCTAGTATGAAATACTTTTAGCGTAGATTTCACTTAATTAAAGTTCGTTGTTCAACTTGGGTATTAACATGCAGACCCCCGAATTCATCGGGAGTGAGGTCAAGCGGTTCCTCCGAGGTCATTATTGGAATACATATTCGAGTTGTTCCGGGCCGACACGTTTAGAAGATGAAATGTTTGGACTTTTGCTGACGACGTGGCTTCAGAAATAACCGTTGATCGTGACTTCGTTGTTAGGATTGTGCGGTGTCTGATGAGGTTCAAAACAATCCTATATTGCGACAATGTGCTACGCAACGTCCTTCCATTGGCGGACCAATTTGCTATATATAATAAATATTCTCTTTGGCCCTAATTTTTCACTTTCTCAAAATTTGAATCTCTCGTCTTCTCTGACACTTATCTTTTCGTCGTTGTCATCACTTACCGCATAGTTGCTTGTAGAACTTCGATAAAAACTTCCAATTTGTTTGTTTCTCTCGCTTCGTCATAAAAATGAATTGTGGAAATTATGTTCGTGGAAAAACCGCCAATCTTGGAGAGAGGCCAGAATTTACCAAGGAACACAATCGGCGACGAGTTTGTCGTGGTGTGTCACATTGAGTTATGCCCCGCGCGTAAAGGATCATCACGCAGGGGTCACGGTGGTTGGATCAATCAATCTTCTTCATCTCATGATAGCAAGAGGAAATTACATGGATCATCTGCATGCAGAATCGTCAGAAAGAAAAAAAAAAAATCTGAGGAGTGATGCTCTAATCCATCAAGTTGGGTCCTTCTTCTATCTGCTTGTCGACACGAGAAGTGATGAATGACTGGGAAATCTTACGAATTTCTCAGACGAATGGTTTTCCCTCTTTAAATCCTCCGTCCATCCGCAAATTCAGAATAATTTCGCCCTCCCCGATCATGTGGCGGAGGCGGCACGAGCCCCTCTCATGAGCTGGGACCTGATTTCTTAGGCTTCTTTTGCGGGGTTAACTGATGTGCAGCGGATCGAGCACTATATGGCCAGCTTGGGTTGGGTGATGGCAAGCCTCTCCATCTCTACCGAGGTGGCAAACAAACAAGAATCTGGCTTTTCCTGGCTTAAGGATGAGCATGAAATTTGTGATGCTGTGATACTTTTCTTGAAAGATAGAGAAAAAAAAAAGCAACAGTCGAAGATTGAGAACCACTGTGCTGTGCTCACTGGTAAAAATGTTAAACTGAAGTCGAAAATGCTCGATTGGAATTCGAGGTAGTGAAGTTGACCGCCCAAGTCAACGAGTCCCACAATGCTTAATCCCGGCAAAGGAATTCATTCATCCACGACCTGAAGTCACTCCAGCAGGAGAACAAGGATCTCAAAGCTAAAATTGTTGACTTGTCTACCTAGGTCGAGAAAGGGGGAGACACTCATGCTCGAGGCAGCCGGTCGCCCGATTGTTCGAATTATCTAGCTATGCTGGAGTTCGAGACGTATATGGATGCGTGCATTGCCATCAACATTTGTTGGTTTCTCCACTGCACAGAGAATCCCTCCCTATATATTAATTCAAAACGTGTTGAGTCTAGGTGGCAGATTCTCACGCTTCGAATGCTGACATGGCGAAAATCTATGCTTCGTGATTTTGTTTTTATATTATTTTTGCTCTGGAGTTAGGTTTGGTATTAGACATAAATAACTTTACACATATATTAATTAACTCAACACCATATTGTACATGAGTATTAATACTAGTGATCTTCTGAGCTTGAAGGACTTCCGCCAGATTCTTCAAGTAAAGGCACGTCTCCATCAGCTCAAAGATGATCTCAACCAGCTTGTGGCTAAGACAGACTCCGAAAAAGTCGAGATTCTTCGAATAATAGGTGATCGGGCTCCTAAAGCCACCACAGAACTTTAATATCAAACCCGACCTGGGGGTGGAATTATCCTGGTCTCTTTTGGACAAAAGCGATGAAACGGGAGGGTCAACTCCCGATATGATTCGCCCAAGCTCGGGCGCAATCGTGAGTGAGGTCGTCATCTCCTTAGTTCCAATCTTGGCAATCCAGTCCTCCTCTTTTGATCCAAGTTCGGAAGAGTAGGCCCTTCCAATTCATATTTCCTTTGCATTATATTCTACAAGTAGACTTTATCGTACTTTTGTAGTACAACTAATATAGCTGTTCATTAAAGCAACATTGAATGGAGGCTTCTGATTTTGGTACAAAGAAGCAGAGATTGTCTTTTCCACCAACTCTACTTGTTTATGATTAGTGTGTATTTTCGCCTAGTCTATATATATATAAAGAGGGAGTTGATGGAATTTATTGCTAAATATAGATGATATGCAATGACTATATTTGGCAATATTTCTACATTTGGTTGGGTAATTAATTGTAAGGTTAATTATTTTTGTTAAGAGTGCCAAATAATAATGGGAAATGCATTAACATACTAAATTCATATTCAATTTTTTTTGGTTAATTTTAAGAATGGAAAATAACAATGGCAACTTACTTAAATTATTCCGTTTGGAAATTTAAAAAGAATTAATATTCTTGTACTCGATATTTAAAAATATATAACATCAACTACGCTCAACCATATTCTAATATATACCTTAAATATATTTAATATCTTGAACTCTACATATCATTACTATGTTTTAAAGGCAGTAGTATTAGTTTACATAACCATACGTATTAGTTCATTTTAACATTAGGCATAGATCCAAAAAACATGTAAAAAAATATTTATTATGAATAATCTATTTAAATTAAGTTATTAGATGAATATATGATGATGGTGAATGTTGGCAAAATTTTAAAAATGATACATCACGTTAGGCGTTGACAACAAAAGAGACATTTTGTCGTCCCTCACGGAAAAGAAACATGTAGTTGATGATTTGGTCAAAAAAAGATACATTAATCACCATACCTGATAAAAAAGCTGACGTGGTCGGATTAGGTAGTGATGTGGCATTATAAATTTCTTTAATTTCCTACGTGTTATATACATGACGTGATGTGGCATCATTATCTCCAAATACACAACTGCACATAGGTAAAAAATATAAAAATAAAATAAAAAATTCAAAAATAAATAAATATAAAGACACATCAGCAAAATTAATAAAAAAATAAAATAGAAATAATAAAAATAATAATAAAAATAGGAAAATAAAAAATACAAAAATAAAAAAATATAACAAATATATTTTGTTAACTATATATTAATAAAATATTTAAAAAAATTATATTTCTTTAATATATATTAAAAAATAGTAAAAAATAAAAAAAAAAATATTTTGTTAAAATTTCGTTAAATATAGATATAGTTCGCTAATATATATTAAAAATATTTGTTAATAATAAGAATTATATATAATTTATTATATTATCTAATATAATAATTTACGTAAAAATTTATTTACTTAATATATATATATAAATATATTAAATATAAATATAAATCACAAAATATAAATTTATATTAAAAAAAATATTTTAATATATTTCAAAATATATATTTTAAAAATATTTTTATTTATTTAAATATAAATTTATATATGTGGTTTATATTTATATTTAATATAGTAGATTCGATCTAAGTAGTCTCGTCGGGAAACGTCGTAAGTAAAGCGAGGAAAGGAAGTAGCTATACCTGAGTGAGTTTATATTAAATAAATAAAATATTATGTAAAGTAATATATTAGATAATATGATAAATTATATATAATTATTCTTATTAACGATTTTTTTTCTTTTTTAGTATTTTTTAATATATATTAGTGAAATATATTTATATTAAACGAATTTTTTTTTTTCAATATATATTAACAAAATATAAATTTTTTCAAATTTTTTTTAATATATAGTTAACAAAATTGAACGAAATATATTTCTTATACTTTTTTTTTATTTTTGGGTTTTTTTTCTATTTTCTATTATTATTATTTTATTTTTTCCAAAGTGTTTTTATTATTTATTTATTTTTGGATTATTTTTATTTTTATTTATCTATGTGTAGTTGTGTACTTGGAGAGAAGGATGACACATCACGCCACGTTTATACCACGTAGGAAATTAAGAAAATTTATAATGCCATGTCATTATCTAACCTGACCACGTCAGCTTTTTTATCCAGGTTGAGTAATTAATGTATCGTTTTCGACCAGATTGTCAACTAAATGTTTCTTTTCCATAAGGAACAACAAGATGTCTTTTTTGTTGACAACGCCTAACTTGGTTTACTATTTTTAAAATTTTGCTGGTGAATGCTTAACAAAATACATGAATCATATTAATGTCAATAAAAATTAAGCATTATTAATGGTGAATGCTTAACAAAATACACGCTGACTTACCAAGATACTCGAGTACACAATATGAATAATTCACGCTATAAATCTCATATTCAAAATATGTGTCATTATATTGTTCTCTCATAGTTCAAGAAGACTGAAATCTACATTAATATTCCACAATTTTTGTGTATACCAAGTTTTTTGGACGTTGATTAATTTTTTTATTTTGTCTCTAATAAGTATTTTACATGGTTTTTTTAATACATGTACATAAACTTTTGTTTTGAAACATGATTGTTGCGATGAAAATATGTTATCCACATTTAATGGTGGTATTGTGTAACTAAGTTTTTTTGGAGATGTTGATTGATGATTCTATTTTGATCTTTACTTACTATTCTCCATGGGTTTTAATTTTAATACATAAACTTTTGTTTTAAAACTTGATTTTTGCGATGAAAATATGTTATCTATGTCGAATGTTGGTGTTGTGTTCGAAATCAAGTTTTTCAAAGACGTTGAGTAATTTTTCTATTTTGCTCTCTAATTACTATCTTCCATGGGTTTTTTCAATACATAAATTTTTGTGTCGAAACATTATTATTGCGATGAAAATATGTTTTCCACATTGAATGTTAGTGTTTTGTTGAAAATCAAGTTTTTTCGGAGACATTGATTTATTTTTCTATTTTCGTCACTAATTACTATTTTACATGGGTTTTTTAATACTTAACATTTTGTTTCAAAATATGATTTTTGCGATAAATTAATATGTTATCCACTTCAAATGTTGGTGTTGTGTTCAAAACCAAATTATTTTGGAGACGTTGATTAATTTTTCTATTTTGGTGTCTATTTACTATTTTCCATAGTTTTTTACTTTTTTTATACTTAAACTTTTGTTTCAAAACATGATTTTTGCAATGAAAATATGTTATCCACATCAAATGTTGGTGTTGTGTTTGAAACCAAGTTTTTTCAGAGGCGCTGATTAATTTTTCTATTTTGGTCTCCAATTACTCTTTTACATGGCTTTTTTTTAATGCATAAACTTTTAGTTCAAGACGTGATTTTTGGATGAAAATACTATATCCACATCAAATATTGGTGTTGTATTCAAACCAAGTTATTTCAAAGACTTTGATTAATTTCTTTATCTCTAATTACAATCTTTAATGTCTTTTTTCAACACTTAAACTTTTGTTTCGAAACATGATTTTTGCAATGAAAATATGTTATCCACATCAAATGTTGGTGTTGTGCTTGACCCCATCGCAACCATCATGGAAAGCACTTATCCAATGGTTAGATATTGCATTGATGACCCCATCTATTTGAAATATAGGGCTATATAAGATCCAACATTAGATGTTGTTGACTCCATCAATGAATATATGTCATCTTTGAATCAATCGGAGGATAATACTTATTTAAGTTTTGATACAACATGCAAATCCGATGGTGGTGTTGATTTCTTCCATGACCTGCACACACTGGAGTTCTTAAATAGTATAAAATGTTCTGGTGTTCTAAATCATGAATTGCACTTAAATGTTGAGTCTCTTGTCATGTTTTTGAGAAACATTGATCGTTCGATTCGACTGTGTAATGGAACACGCTTGGTGATAACGAAGCTTTCCACCTACGTGTTCCAATGTAAGATTCTAATATGATCAAATGCTAGACATAAGGTATTGGTACCAAGAATTTCCCTAACTCCATCTGATCTCAGGATACCCTTCAAGTTCCAACGAAGAAAATTTACTCTTGTGTTTTCTTACGCAATGACAATCAACAAGAGTCAAGAGCAGTCATTATCCCATGTCGAACTTTACTTGAAAAGACCCGTGTTCAGTCATGGTCAATTATACGTTGATGTGTCTCGAGTCACTAATCCACATGGATTGAAGATATTAATATGTGGGGACGATAATGGGGAAAAGAAAACTAATAAGTTTTCCACAATTTGTAATACCCTACAATATTGTACTTTACTATCTATTCAATAATAATGTTTTTTATTTGTCATTTACTTTTTATTATATATATATATATATAAATGTATTTATTAAATATATTTTAATAAATATGTTCCGTGCATCGCACGGGTGAAGATACTAGTTACAAGAATTAAGAAGCATAGATCTTTTTAATATGATTTTTTTTCCCTTCTACAAGTGGTAAGATTAGTTCCAAATGTATGCAAAATTTTAATATCTATTAGAAGCATTACATTCTATAAGTGGTATGATTAGTTCCAAATTTCTGCAAAATTTCAATATCTATTAGAAGCATTATATTTTATTGATGTTTATTTTTTAGATGAACATAAAGTAATTTACTATGGTCCGTCTTGTCCCTATCGACGAGTTGTTCATAAACTTGTTCGGTTCAATTCAATCTCGTTTAAAACGTGTTGAGTTAATGAGTTGTGTTGAGTTGATGAGCGATATCGAGCTCAACTCCACTTGTTAATGGTTGTTAAATATCGAATAAGGGTTCTTTAAATATGAATTTTTGTTTTAGTCCGACTTGTTAATGTTATTGTCGGATTTTTTTTTATTAATGAGTTGAGCTCTATTCGACTTGATAATGTTGGAGCCCAAATTCGAGCGCCGTAGGCCCTGATTGATTATAAATTATCTTGCCACTTTTAACCGTATAATTTTATAACTCAAATATAATCTAATTCAAATTTAATTTAATTCAACTCTTCTCAATATTCTATATAATTAAATAATATGAATAAATCATTTTCACATATTACAGTATTTCACTATTCATACACCTACATAATTTTAACTTACCAACCAACTCCCTCTTATTTTTACATATTACATCAAATAATAGGAATTCAAGACTCAAACCTACTCAATCAACATCTTCAAAAGTAAAATAATTATCTCCAATCTAAGTTTTAATTTTTTTTGTTCACGTGGGATCAGAAAATATATATATATATATATCACTGTTTTGTGACTCGGACCGTCCCAGCGAGTCGACCCGGGACCCAATCGGCCCGGAGCCAAAACCGGTTCAGTGAGCTATTTGGACCGGGTAACAATGGACCTGGTCAACCCGGCCTTGACACCCGGTCGACCCGGGTCAACCCGGTTGACCTAGTTTCTATAATTTTTTTTTATTTTTTTATATTTTTATATAAAAAATGAAAACAATGTTTATATAATGACATAGTAAATATTTATTGTGAGATTCAATATTATTAACACTTAAATATACAAATTTTGTATACAAAACATTTATTTTTGTTACTTTTATGTATATTTATATGTCGAATACTATATATATTATTTTAAAATTTTTAAAATTAATTCTCCGGTTCATCAATTGACCCAATGACCCGGCGGTTGAACCGGTGACCCAGTGACTCGGAGACCTGTCCGGGTCGATTTCCGGGCCGGGTTTAAAAACTATGATATATATAATATATATTATTAAAAAAAGAAACTCAATTTTCAGAATGGTGGGTACGAATAAGTTGCAATGTGGAGGATACAAATGCAAATATGCATGAGTGACAAGAGTCGCTCGCTCTCTTCAAAAGGGAAAGAGAGTGAGATCTCTGCATTTCAATCTGTTCCTTACATGCATTTGCATGAGTTTTACTTTACCTGATTTTTATCACAGCTTTCTTCAATTTCATTATTTTTCTCATGTTGTCTGTTTCTTTGTTCTAATTTCCGATAACCCCAAAGATTAGTATAAATTCATTGTTTTTTCCGTCCATCTTCTTCTTCTTCTTCTTCTTCTTCTTCTTCTTCCAATTTGCCTTCAATTGTAAAAGCCCATTATTTCTACTTTTCAGGAAAATTTTGTAATCATTTATTGGGCTCCATTATTGGGTCAATCAGCTGAAAGATACCAACTTGTTCATCAATTCCGTATAATAACAATATAAATCAATTAATGGCGAATGCATCTGGGATTTATATTCCCGCGGCGCACAGTGTGGGGAGGAGATTTTCGCCGTCGATAGGCATTTATCGATCTGGGTTTTGGTTCTCTGAAAGCGCGACCAGGAGAACAGTGTGCTCCGGCACCACTCAGGGCGCGGAGAAGCTCCCCGGTTCTGATTCGAGAGCTCCCAGGTAATTAATTGCTGGGAAAAAAAATCGTTCTTTCAGATTCTTTGTCTTAAAGTTCAAATCTTGGGTTTTATTTCATGTGGGCTGTGGCGGATGTGGTTTATATTTACAGGTAGTGTGTTTTAAATTATGATAGCTGGATGAATGGTGTTCTTACTGAATTCATTATCAGATTTTTTTATGCACTTTTGGGAGAATTCGATTCTGCCGTATTTAACCTTTGGATCACACAATACAACATTAAAAAAACCCGTAGGTACGGATTTCCCTTGATTTTGTGTAGTTTAGGTGTTAGGGATGCCCAATCCCTTACACCAATCTCACGAAAGTGATTGCGTATTCGGAGCATAGCCTGTGTAGCATCAAAGGGGTTCTTTTAGAGCAGATGTTTATAACCTTTTGAATTGGATTCAGGCAGTAGCTTAAGAATAGAGGTTGCTACCTTTGTTCCTTTTGAGTTTACGTCTTTTCTGCAGTGAGTTGGTCGAAGACGGTTGGTTTTTGTATGTTTCCCACATTTGCATGTGCAAATTGGTTATAGGTATCTATGACATTTTAATGGGACTTCTCATATTTGTTGTAATTTTCAGTTTTGAGCTACATGTATTCTTCACCTGCATAGTGCATAATTTGGCCTATATATATATTTGAAAAAACAAGAAAATCGTATGCATGATTAGGGAAATTTCTCATCCATTGCTGTTTTCTCTTTATGTTGGGCTAAGTTTTGCTCTTCTTCTAGTGCATATTTAATCCGCCACCCCACACCCGAAAAATAATTAAAAGCAACAACAGTAAGAGATAATATAAGTCTCTGAGCCATAATGTTCAGGTAGATGAGCAGATTTTATAGTAGAGATCCTATATTTCTAGTTCTGATAATTTGAGCCGGCGATCTGGATAAACAGTTTAGCCTGTTATCTTCAAGGCATGTGTTTCACATTTTATGTATGACAATACCAGTTCTGGATAAATGGTGTAGCTGGTTTTATTATTCACTTGGTATTCATTTAGCTTGGTAAAAAATACATGTTTTTATGGAGTTATATGCTAAAACTGACTGCATCTAATACCGTTGTGCTTATCATGTACCCTTCCTTTGTGCAAAGATTGTTAACTTTGAATTTTCATTCTGACACCCCTTTATAATCTCGATAAATACGTAGGCTTGTAAGCAGAGGCTGCAAGTTAGTTGGTTGTGGGTCTGCAGTACCAAGTCTTCAGATATCAAATGATGACCTCTCGAAAATTGTCGACACTAATGATGAATGGATATCAGTACGGACTGGAATCCGTAATCGAAGAATAGTTTCCGGTTTGTTCCCTATGCAACTTTTTTCTTATAATTTGAGGTTATGTCTAGTAATAGCCTGTATATGAAATAGTAGTGGTACTTGTAAAAGATCAAATCTTGTTTGTTTTTGAAATAACTATTTGCTCCCAAAGAGCAGATATTGTAGTAAAATTAAAAAATATTGCACACCAAACATGGCTTACTTTTCGCATCTCCATGATATGTTACAGGAAAAGATAGTTTAACAGGTTTGGCTGTAGAGGCATCAAAGAAAGCTCTCGAGATGGCAAGGGTTAGTCCTGATGATGTTGACCTCGTGTTATTGTGTACTTCGACTCCAGAGGACTTATTTGGCAGTGCCCCACAGGTGCATTTTACATGTGACATTCTGAATTTTATTATAAATTCCTCTGCTTTTCTTGGGTTGGTAGAAGTGATTCATACCATCCGCTAGCTAAGTTGTACCTTTTTTAAAGCCTGAAATTTGTTGCAAACCCAATTACTATCAAATTTTTAGATAAAATCTTCTCTCAAATGTATTTGGCTAATTCATTGAGGTTTTTGTCTTCTAATTTATTTGGCTTTTAGTATCCATTGGCAAACACTATCAGCTTCAGTTTTTTTTGCAAATCACTTTTTTCACATAAAGTTATTACAAACCAGTTAGTGTGAAAGTGAAATTTCTTGCAAACCTTCCCTCAAAACAATACGATCCCCTACCATAAGTGAGCATGCAGTTTTTTGTTGATATTTTCTATGTTTACCTTTTTGGGCATTCACAAATGATGATTGTTTCAAAACTCAAAGGCATTTCGGGTGATTTTTTTTTTTTTT